ATCTAGAAATTACAACAAAAAAGGAATTAAACCAATAAAACTAGGAAACATGGAGCAAAGTAAAGCACAATAGAAACAAGACCATGACAGTTTTATTCCAAAGGGCTCTATGGCTGCTGTACCTTGGGCACCATATTTCTGTCACTGACAGGAACAAACCAAAAGTGGAAAATCTGAACCCAACAGGCACGGTCACGGCTCTGTTCTGTGTGATGTTGAATTTTCAGACCCAGTAGTCTGCAAGCAGAAGCCATTCCCAGAAAAGCTGTAATGCTTCCTGTAGCAAATTGTTGGGGGAAAAAATGGGCATGCCACTGAAAAGAGAGACACAAGTTTGAAATCCTTTATTTTTATCCGCCATTTCTCTAAGCACATAATATATTCTGTTAAAAGCCTTTCATAAGAAGTATAAACCTCTATTGTTACAGCTGTAGTGTTGGAAGTTCTTTCAGTTTGTTTGCTTAAGAAAATAAAATACATCTAAATATATTTTAGTCGTAAAATATAATGCAAAGCCAACAGAAACTAACTTTGCAAGCTACTTATTAGGATATTTATGGTTATGTTATAGAGGATATGTTTAATGTTTATGCATTTAGCAGACGCTTTTAACCAAAGCGACTTACAAAGTAGGCATTAGCATTAAGGGTCTTGTCTATACCAGCAGATTTGTTTAAATTGTTGAAAGAATACTGAGCCTTCACACAAGGTATGATTTGCTTCTTTTATTTTGATAGAATGAGGGAAATACAGTGTGTATGTTTGTTTTTAAATACAATAATCCAATGATCATGTATTTTAGAATAATGCAACACCTATCACAGGATCTGAAAAGAAGAAAAAAGAATCTCATTAGGCATCTATTTTTTGACTTATTCAGGTTTACTGATGAGAGTTTTTAGTGCTTTCTACTTACTGAGTTAATCCAGTCGATGTAAGCAGACACACGGGTGAAGACCGTGGGCTTCTGAGGATAGTTGCAACCCCAAGCGGACACGAAGCTTGTGACTCCATGGACGTAGTACTTGCCGCTAACCTGGCAGTTAAGAGGGCCGCCAGAATCTCCCTGATGAAAAACAAACATAATAGTTAAAGCAAACATTTTCAAAACCGCCGAAATAGAATAAAAAGTCTCAGAGCAGCGTTTAAATGAATAAACAATAAATAAACTCACATTGCATCCAGAGTCACTACCACCTCCACCGCACACCATAGTGGTCTTGACGGTGCTACCCCACCAGCTGCTGCTGGAGCAGGTCTTGTGGTCCACCACAGGAAGGTAGGCCTGCTTCAGCTGAGCAGACAGGCTACCACCAGCTGATCAAAGTGAAAGAACATGATGCATTTCCTTTTAGAATAAAGAGACCCAAATAATACTATTTTATGCAATTAGGTGTCCTATGCAATAAAACTGACTGGAGGTGCGTCCCCATCCAGTGATGTAGCAGGGGTTGTTGTGAGGGAGGACCTGTCCAGAGGGGGGCAGAGAGGCAAGCTGGACGTAAGAGTTCAGGACGGCGTTAGAGGAGAGTTTCAGCAGAGCAATGTCATATCTGAAATACAGAAAACAAAACAATTTAACAAACATGGTCAGACCTTTTCCTGAAGCATGCTTTGTTAGAAGTTTTAACTAAATGAGGTCACATTCAGCTCCAGGTGAGTGCATACTTGGTACAGATTGCTTTTATTAGAACTGGCTTTAACATCCACCTCATTTTGGGAAATCCTCGCCTATTTTGTATACCCAAATGGAAAAGCAAATAATATTGGATCTGTAAGCCCAAATTACACGTGTGCACAAAAAATCGGAATCTAGATAAGTCAGTTTTTCGTAAAATAAGTGCATTTGTTCTTGGATTGAGGAGGAAAAAGAGACATTTTGCCAATGGAACAAGACAATTTACATTTAAAATAAGAACACAATTGCATTGTCTTATTTCAAGTGCATTTTATCTAATTATATTATTTTAAGAGTAAAAATACTGATTCCATTGGCAAACTATCTAATTAACTTACTGAAATTAAGTGTAAACACACTTAATTTAGGAAATTTTAACTTATTTCTAGATCGTTTTTCTAGTGTGATACATCATTTGAAAGGTAAAACCTTCTAATTCTGAATATATACATGAACATTGCGTGAGTAAAACACAGCCCAAGCTGCATCAGTTCAAACATGACTCAAAGTTGTTGTTTTTTTATTCTTGAAAATAATAGCTCTTTTTTTTAATCAGCAGTAATAAATACATGCTTGCTTGCTGTGGCTGCTTTGTCGTTTACATTTTGACGTGCTGCTATATCTGTGTTAATTGTGCTTTGGTGCTTGCTGTGTCCATAAAATGAACTAGGTGGTCGAATTGTGGAGAATCTAATATTTCCAAAGATGTGTAACATATTGGTAAACATTTTACCAGTGTCATTTTCATGCATCCTCAGTTATTAGTTGTAAATGCTTTTGAGATTCCTTACCCACTAGCAACACTGTTTGAATTCCAGTTGGCGTGGACGTAGATCTGGCTGACGCTGATCACCTGCTCCCTTCCACTGTTGGAGTTCAGGTCATGTTCACCAAGAACAACACGGAATGTCCTTGGGCTGCAAAGACATAAAGAGCAATAAATAATCAGTGCAGCCTCTTTAGATTTCATTACTTGTAAATACTGTAGAGTTATTTAAATAATGTGTTTATAAATTTCAATTGCTTTTATTAAGATGTTTTATTTCATTTAACCCTTTATATGGCACTTAGTGAAATACTTTGAAAATCAAAATTTCAAGCCAATAGTGTTATTGGAATCCAGGACAAGACCTTAATACCTTTGTAACATTCAAAAAAATATAGATATTTTGATGGAAAAAATGTATGTCAATGTAATATGAAGAAATGCCAACTTAATTATAATATGAAAAATAACAAATGAAAAACTCTTTACTTTTTAACCTTACAATTCGTTTTTTCCCCTTTTTTCTTGAATTGTTACTTTCTTTTTTTAGATAATATATCATCTAAGGGCTAATCTAATTGGTCAAATGGCAAAATGAGCCATGTAGCAGCATCTTTGCTGAATGGCTAGATATGAATCTTTTGCTTCTAGACCTCACTGAGGGACGGGGGGGACCGGAGACATGTTCAGATTGAGACAACAATATAAGTAACATCCTTCTGAGCCTGGAGATGGCTTGGATGTTTGTGTCAAACACAACTGTAGGTGTAAAATCTGCATCTTTTGGGATGAATCTTTATGTTACCTGTCCACACAGTGAGCAGCAGTCATCACCCAACCTGTACGGATCAGGCTACCTCCACAGGTGTGGTACCAATTGCCGCTAGATTGGTACTGAAGAGAGATCTGATGAGGAAAAAGAAGAGGTGAGCTCCACATGTCAACCTAGCTGCTTTTACCTCAAGTCCTACTTTCTTTAAATATTATTTATCATTTTGTTATAGTCAGTGCCTTTAAAGGAAGCAAGAATAATTTGTTTTACCTGCCAGGGCCAGGCGTTGGGGCTGGAAACCTGACCTCCCACCACTCTCTCCAGGCTGTCCTCCAGGTACCTGGGCTGCTCCTGAGCCGCCACTGGTTAAAAAAAAGGCAAATGACTCATTTCCAGATTGTCTTCTATAATTGCATGTTTTAAAGGCAGTAAGAGGTTTGAGGAACGAGTGTGGCTAGTAGTTGGAGGTACCTGGCAAAGAAAAATAAATAAGTCTTACCGAAGGCAGCAAGACATGTCAACAACAGAATCCTGAGCATGTTTGCGTCTCTTCAGAATGTTTCTGCAAGGACTGAACTCTTCTACCTTCTTTTATATCCACATTAGACCTTGAACCGGAGTGGAAAATCATGTCCATGAATGCACCTGTGGTTTGTCTCACACGCCTTTATTTTAATCATTTGGAACACACCTCTTGATTAGGTCAGCAACAGCAAACATCTGCAGAAAAGCTTCCAACTACAGCACTAAAGTTGTGGAGACTCAAAGATTCGATATATATTCGATATATATATATATATATATATATATATATATATATACCGGTATATATATATAAATATACATATTTTTTTTTTTTATGTGCTCTTTCTTTCAGCATACAGCGGATGTTTCATTGCCTTTGTAACAGTCTCAGTTTAAGATTAACAATATTATTGTCTCTTGTTTTGTTTATTTTTTCTAACTATTATGCAAACATAAAAAAAATTGGACCGTTATTTAGTCACTTTGTTGTTGAAGACAAAGCTAAAAACAAAACAAAAATAAAATAAGCTATTTAGAACTTTAGTTGATAAATTTGTGATTGGATTTTTATTTAATACAAGAGTGTAACTTCACTGAATAACAAGCATATTTAAGCATATTTAACCTACCACAGCATTTGAAGGTCTACTAAAATACTGTCACTGGACGTACTGATTTCATAAGTTTTACGTTAAAAAGAAAATTGTTTTGGAAAAGTTTTCCTTCTGCCTGTAATTGTTAATTTTCAATTACATTATTTATTTATTTCCATTATTTTATTATAGTCTTTTAATTCAAGAATTTGCACATAACTGTATAGTTTGATCTTTCTTTATGACGTCCTTTCAGATATAAGATGTTATGATAAGTTACTATTTGACTTTTAACCAAATACCTTTTTACTTTTTCTTGAGTCATTTCCTGGTTGGCTACTTTCTTAAGCACACTTTTTAGGGTACTCTTTATTCTAAATTCTTAATCATGTAATCGTTTCCTTTGTTTTTTTTCTTTTTCTTTTTTACACTATTAAAATAATGAATCTTTTCAAATGTTCATATCCTTGATGTCTGCTTGTCAAGGTGAGTTATTTTTATCCACTAGGGGGCAGTAAATCCTAACAAACCTAACCAAGACAGCTGTTAAATGTCCATTAGAAAAACCCAAACCTTGTTATTAGTTAGATGATTTACATGTTTTAAACGTTCAAATATTCATTAGGATAAATGTGAAATATCAATAGAAGCTATTAGTGCATAAATAGTTAAATAAGATTTGAGCATCTTACTTTAAGCTAGAGAGTTGTTAATAAAGCATGAGAAGTGACATAATAGATTTCCTCTTTGACATTGAACAGTAAACACTATAGACAACCAGATCCGTTCTGCTCTGTTGCCCTTTTACACAAACAAAACTACTTGTGGTTCATATCTGGTCAGCCTGATATGTCCAACAATAGGTTACTGTACAAAGGGAAGGCCTCAGATGTGTCTATCTTTTGTAAAGCAGTTCTTAATTAGACAGGAAGTCATTAAAACGACAAGGATTTGGGATTATTGCCTAATCGGCTGTTCAAGAGATTGCTATGCTGACTTGTAATTGAGCTGGTCCCTTTAAACAAAGGGAAAGGTCCACATGCTGTAAGACGCCCTGAACAACTGGGCCCCTGCAGTTTCATCATTTTCTCATTGCACGTCTTCATTCCCTTCAGAACTTCTCGTGGAGCCCTCCACCAACCTTCCCTCACAGCGGCATAAATCAAACGCCTAGATCAAAGACAGGAAGTGCTGGGGATGTGGTAATTAAAGATGTTGGTTCTTGATATAGCTTCCTCTCATTAACCAACAGTCGATTTGGTTCCCATAAAATTGTCTAACACACATGATCAAGAAATGAGGTTCCAAAGAAATTAATGGGATGCTGCGATTGGCTCTGTGATAAAAGTCCTCAATGGTTATTACATTGTAAATGTCAGCTATATATATATTTTTTCTAAACCATAAAATTGATGGACTAAGACAACAATTTACATTTCAAATGGCAGCTTATATTTATTGTGCTAGCTCCAAAGCAAAGACATAGAACACATAAAAAATCCAGAGATAAAAAATGAAAAGGTGGAGTACAAACATCCCAGGAAACAGTAAATAATAAAACGAACAAAAAGCTTTAAAATACATTAATCTTTTTTTTTTTTTTACTGTAGCAAGATCATTCCGTAATTTCTATTTTAATCCAAAGATTTATTGTCATGTATCCTGTATGGGCTTTTGAACACAATAAGTAACCTATGGCTTCATCTGATTTAAAAGCATGACACAGAGTTTAATTTCTGCAGGGCTGGCTGAGTCCAGTCCTCAAGAGCCTTTACTCTGCAACATATAGAGATCCTCCTCCCAAATCAAACCAATGACTCTGTACCAGGCATCTGCAGAGCTGTACGACATACTGATGAGGTAGTTCAGCAACTTGATTTAATTGTGTTGGAGAAAGGATGCATCTCAAAACTAGGAGACAGCAGTTCTCTGTTGGACTTAAGGCTTTCTTCACATTGGACAAGATCATAAAAAAATTCTGTTTAGTTATGACATCTGTAAAATTCAACCCAATGGTTCTTTATTATTGTTAGAAAAGTCTTGCCACATTCAGCTGTCTACTATAATGTGCAGTGTTCTGCCATTTCAGTTAATTCCTTGTGATGAGTTTCTAGTTATTTCTTGTGTAAACTTTCTCTTTATGCATTTATTGTTTGTCTTTTTCTCTCAATTTGCAGCTTCCTAACTAACCCAACTCTCTTAAATCTCTGTGATGGCTGCATGTGCAAACACACAACAAATGGTCTGGTAATTCTTTCATTAAATCTTCTATTTTACTGTAGTGTATTTCATATTTTTCTACTTTGATTTGGCAATGGTTAACTATTTGGGTGCACACATTTAGTTGACTCATTTTGTCATTTCTTGCTTGTTTGGTTTCTGTACATTTATATATTTTTCATTGGAGTTGCCAGTTCCTGGGAGGCTGTCACGAGTGAAGCTAGTAAAGGACAGGAGGCCCCAGCTGCAAAGTATCTCCTCATTGACATGGAGGCCTAGTTGGACTCTTCCACTTACTTTTAGAAGGGGTGTAGAAAGGGTTTATGTTTCTGTATTTGGTTTTGTTTTCTATAATAAAATTTGGAAAGTTTAATATTTAAGTCCTCTTCCTCATAGTTTGCTGATTGCGTATGGTGCTGATTAGTTTGTATTGTTTGTATGTTGTAGCTTGTATATAAACATAAATGTATTTTATGTTTCCCTCTTGTTTCAAAATGGTCTGATATATATATATATATATATATATATATATATATATATATATATATATATATATATATATATATATATATATATATATATATATATATATATATATATATATATATATATATATGTGTGTGTGTGTGTGTCAGTTATCTAGGTCTTTTCCTGTGTCAGGTTTGGGTTATGCTGATTTTTGTTGTCATTTTTTTTTTTCCTTGATAGGCCCAGTCTTGTTTGAACTTTTGAACTTTATTTTTTCAAACTAAATATCAATGACTTCCCTGTGCTTCTCAGATTTTTTGGCTCGGTCCCTCACAACCTCATTCACACAGACTCCATCATCCATTAATCCTCCGTTCCGTTCCAAACATTTCCTGTTGATGTGGTAAATACCACTGGTATCATGGGGCCATGGTATTACAGACTAGACAGACCAGCCACCCCCCCTCCTCTGTCGTCCATCAGCCATACAAATCTGGTCACTTCCTGAAGGATGAATGCATAAAAGCATCATTTACTAAAACCCAGATGAGGCAGACTATAGGTCGGACAGAATAAAGCAGATCTGGTACATTTCAAAATAAGACGAGACAGCACCACAAAAATTCACCAAATACGCAAGACTCCATTCAGTTTGAACCTGATGTCTTGTCATGTGTTTTAGATCTTATGGTCGAAACTGCTTCAATAAAACTGAACCACATCTAACCTCATACATTAATAATGTGGTGAAGATAGAGTGAAGCCAAAAAGACAAAAGCTCTCTATTTACCGGTCGATTTACATTATCACTCTCACATATGGTCAGAGGTGGGTAGAGTACACAAAACTTATACTTTAGTAATATTAGCGCTACTTTATCTTATTTTTACTTAAATGAGAGTAAAAAAGTATTTAGTAAAAAAGCTATTCATGTATCTAGTGACTGATCTACTAAGTTCTCATATATATATATAATATTTTACAAAATTATGTAGAAATTAACAAAATACTTTAATATACAAATTCTAATGTTTAAAAAAAGGGCAGAAATAAATACGTAACATACAGTAATTACACAATAACAAAATTTAGGTGGATTAAAATAAATGTTTTGTGTTATAAAACTTACAAAATCAATAGTTAGAGTGTATAGAAATATGATAAACTGCAGTTTAATGTTTACTGCATTTTTACCCAACCTCCAAATGATGGGGAGACTCACCAGATGGAAAATAACATTTGATCAGTAACATTGTATGTCTCTGCATTTTTGTTTAAAACAAGCTTGTTTTCATTTGTTAGGTTTCTGTTTCTGTTATGTTTTTCTTTTGCTCCTTGATTTCTAGTGTTTAGTTTTCTTTTCAC